TAGTATCACATGATATCTAGAACAGGGCATGGATTCTAAAAACAGCGCAATAGATTATAGTTTGAGCTATTGTCTATTCATGTCATGGTATAAGTCTAACTTACCGTCCACCTCTCGTAGTCATCCTATCCAGTTTCCTGCAGAGCTGCCCGTTCTGACAAAGCTCAGAGAGCATGGCTGGTGCCTCCGAGTCGCCCAGGAGTGTCTCTAATACGAAATCAGCAGGGTTGTGTGTCGTAGGACACACGTGACCTATTTCTGTTAGATATGGAACTAGTAGTGGTGCAGCGCCCTGTGGAAGAGGAAACAGATTAAAAACAAATCCTTTTCAAATAAATCGTGGCTTTAGTACGTTTGACATCAATTTTGTATGTGTCAGATTAGTACGAAAATTCGTTATAATAATATAAAATTTTCGAAACATGGAGAGGTATGTATTATGTTTTTAACTTCAGATTAGGAATCATTACAATGTCAAAAGCAATACAAATGTGGGTTTTGACTAGAGATGCCACTAATTGGACCATTCGGCTACTATTTGGCCATTTTTTTAACATTCGGACATTCGGCTAATACTTCTTACTATGTGACTGAATACCAAATCTTGAAAAAAAAAGTTTCGTTAGGCCCATATATCTTTGCGTTTGCCGACGTGGTTGTATTTATAAGGTTGTTCGTCTTTCGCCCAGATCGAGCGGTATCTGCCGCTCTCGAATAAAAATTAATATTTTGTGTAATAAAACTTTTTCCCACATATCGAGTTCTTAGGTTTTCGCGATTGTTACACATAGGAAATGAAACTATTTTTCCGGATTTAAATCACCACCATAGTCAACCGTGACCATGGGACCTGTAAAGGGCCCGAAACGTCGGTTTGTTTGAAAAAACAAATATATGTGATTTAAATGCGGATAAATAATTTCATTTCCTATGTTTTTCCCACATCTTCACATTTTTATACTTTTAATAGTAGCAGTAGAGCTCCCTGTGAAATAGTTCGTCCAGTCGTAATGTCAGCATTACTGCGTTCCGGTTTTGAAGCGTAATGGTGCTGGTAAAAGTACAGGCACACGGGACTTGTCAACTTATGTCTCAGTCAGAGTGACCGGCGCAGTGGCAGTGCCCCTCAGATCTTTGCGGTTTAAAGCTCTGAGTGTTATATACGCACGACTTGTTCGTCCCGTCACTAAATATTATTATTAAAAAAAAATATTTGTGACCTATGCAGCGCAATGAAACAGGTCGTAACACGTGAAATGCATCTTGAAAGCGTTGCCGAATATGCGGTATTTGCACAATAGTGACATCTCTAGTTTTGACATTGAAATGGACATAAGACGTGCTTCACTGGGAAAGCCGCGGGCACCAAGCTTTGCCTAAAACTAAACCAGCCTCTAGAATAAATATAATCGCTATCTTAAGTGAAGTCAACGCACGTACATTCCTGAGGCGTAACATTCCCCGTACTTAATAAATCATTTGGTCTGACAAGTTTCTCCGCGGTCGCGGCGGCGACGGGCAAGTTTTTGCAATAACGTGACGATGTAAGTAATAGTTTGGAACAAGCCAAGTTACATATTTATTGTTTGTTGCTTAAACTTGTCGTGGTGCAGTAGGCGTGAAAAACTGTGCGAAAGTTAAACTTTTGACGTAACACCTAGTGAGAACGAATTGAAAAACGTTTGAGACAGTATTTAAGTTTGATTTTATCTGTCTATGTCTATACACGACAGGATGCTCAAGTTTTTAAGAGTTTCTGTTGACATGAAAAACAAGAAAATATAACTGAATATTAGATTGAGCAGGCGCCACCTGTACTATCCTCGCCTTTATATCGTATGGTGTAAAAATGTCACATCTGCAAAACAATAACTTTTCGGAGAGAGGTTTAAAGAATCTACGAACGAAAGATTT